ATCAAGTCTCGCCCACTCTTAGCCGGCAGATCTCGCTCCCTCATTTGATCTGCATATCGTAGAAACAAAATTTGACTACAGTCAATGCAAGTTCCTCTGATTGAAATAAAGTTGTTTTTTTCTCCGACTTTGTCAAAGCCAAACGTATTCAAACGTAAACGTATTCAGGTATTCAAACGTTAACTTAAACATTTTTTTCATGGAAGACTAAAAACACAAGAATAGACCAAATTTAATAAGGAAAAACCCCCTCCGGGTGCTTAGTCTTACTGAACAACAAATGCATGCTCCATAAAAACGATGATTGTTCGAAAAAATCAATAACGAATAACCTCTACCGAATATCGGACTTCACCAAATTCTTGCGTCATTTTGAACCATATTCGCTTTGCCGGCTTACACTTGCCTTCAATCAAACTTCATAATCTGTTTTCCTCTTTAAGTACCGGGGTCATGATCCTCCTTTATCAGCCCGGCAGAATTCAGGTGTCGGTTGAAAATGAAAGCAACAGTGGACTTATTTCAAACTAAGCATCTCAATACTTTAACTAACAGGGAATCGAGTTTTCACTGTCAGAGATTCATATTTGATTCACTGTGACATTTCTTATTTGGAGGAGCAGTGGCAATCTGAAAGTGTTTCTATGGGCTTTAGTCTTTCTTGCAAACTTATCATTAAGTCAAAAAGTCAACGCCCAGCCATGCATCTTGACAAGTTTATCAACAAGACTGACATGAACCCCTTCGACACATCTTTAAAACTGTTTTTAAACATCGTCCGATCAGTCCATAGACTCTCTCGCTATTTCGCCTAAAGTATGTCAACGATTGCTGTTTAATTTTGAACTAGCGCTCAGAAAGCTGACCTTGATTAGCTTTTTTTGTCGTGGTTGTTCAAATTATGCATTAAGAAAGGAGTTAAATAAGTCATGATATTTTAACTGAATACGGACGCCTTTCCCTTTGGCTTCTTTCTACCTAGATTTATACTTAGTATTCATTTTATCTTGATTGTAGATGATCAAAATTCAAACTACTTTTATATTTTATTTTTCTTCTACCCGACTGATGGCTCTTTTAGGCCGTCAACCCACATATTTATGAATAAATAAGTTATACGCAGTGTTACTCGGGAAACTTTTAAACGAGGGAATTTCGATTAAATCTTTATCCTTCCAAATGGTTTGCTACAGACTTGGCTATGATAAAACGGCAAAAAATGTGTATAAAATTTTTAAAAAATACTCATTTTTATAGATCGCTTTTCGCCGAGGCTTTAATTTGGCGCCAAGCGTAGCAAATGAAGTTAGAGATGAATAGCTATTTGCTGGTTTCGTAAAAAATAAAAACTCATGGTTTTCTATAAGTTGTTGTGCCCGAGAGACATCGAAAAAAATAAGTCTCCGTTTTTAGTTATTCTTGGCTATGTTCTTGCTTAAGATCAGGGAGAATTGAACCTTTTTTGTTTCCATTTAAAAGATTAACATTATAGTGTCACCTGTAAGCATATTGTCGCATGAAATAACGACCCGGACTTTTTCCTAACGAATCACCAAAGCTCTCGAAAACCTCGGGCCAGCTTACCCAATGGCTGGAGAGTTGGCGCGAAGTGTCTTGTTAAAGAAAAAGAACCGCCCAGGCTGTGTTAATGAATCATTTCTCTCATGAAGATCCTCATAAGTTGCAAACATTGCGTGGTTAAGCTGAATACGCCATACTGAAATGAAGCTGATACTGCGTGGGAGGAAAGTTTTCTGTCTTTTTTCTCTAAACTGTCATATGTCAATAGTGTTCTCAGCATACATCTGCGGCAAAAGGAATGGAGAAAAAAGCAATTACTCGGTCTTTAATTGCACCCACAAATGGTTTTTGCGGCATCAGGCCCCTCGACTACCGTATCCCACGCGCAACTAAGTCATTTATTTCTGCCGTTCGATTATTGTTTCGAAACAGTGCAACGCTGCTAACTTTTCAAACAGAGCCAAGATCGTTCCTCATTTCGCATTCGCAATATGACACATTAATTTACTTCGGCAATTTATACCTGAGATGTCCTTTGTTTTAGTTATCCTTGTTGTGTCTTCAATCAGCGGACCATAAAAAAGGGTTGCTAAAGATTGTTGTGAGCTGCGACTCAGAATCAGCACGCATTTCCCTAACATCAGATTCATGATATTGATTTGAAAAACCGAAGTCGTTTTTTCCCCTAGAAAAGATTGAGAATTGATGAAACTCTTGAATTTACCCTGGTTTTCGTATGAAAATAAAAGCCTGCCGATTTAGATATTATCTTCACAAACACAAAATTCTAGAAAGAAAAACTATTTATAGATAATGAAGGCGCGTTAATGGCAATTTCTTGCCGTTGAGTATTTGAAGTTAGAAATGAAAGAAGAAATTCATGAGAAATTTGCATCAAATTATCAAGCATCTAATTACTTTAGCCTATAGCTGATATATGGAAAACAAAACAGCAAGTTTTGAAAAAAAAAAAAAAAAAACATATTCGATGCACGTTCTTCTTTTATAGTTATGATGAAAGAGTATTAGCCAAGGACAATCAGAGGGACACAACAGCTAATTTATGAAATTAGATACATGTCTTTTATTTCGGTTTCACTGTTTTGTGCTCGTCGTTTTAATCCGAGCGATGTTTATAGCTATCGCTTCTTTGCTACCGCCCGAGCGCCGGAGTACTTGCTTATTTTCTCAGTTCATCTCTCAATGGCTATATTAATCACTCTCGGCGGAGTTAGCTTTAATGAATCAACCCGTTGCGAGATCCATCTGGACTTGGCTCTAAGTAGAGTCAAAACGCGGAATCGAATCAGCACATTTTGAGTTTGGACTCATTACTAGTCCTTGGTAAGGTTAGCTAAGTCGCTCTTATTGTTAAAACCTGCTGCACGGTGTCCATTTTAAAAGGGAATTCGTGCTTATCCTTTGGGTACGACAAAAGGTGAGTGCCTATATATCATGTAGTGAAGTGATTAGCAATCATCGTTATATACCCGCCGATCAGCCTGCCGTGGCCCTGGTTCACCCGGCTTTTTAGTCCGCTCAACAGTTGTTTCCACACCGACTTTGATTCAGCAGCATGTACAGTGACACCTGCATACTGACGTTACACTAACGGGACTAGCCTCTTCCAGGCGTTCAGATCGTGGGATGGTGTGAAGAGATGCCGCCGCCGGGTTTTCTCAATGGGATAAGCGCCGGTCTGCTGAGCGGGAGGTCGCGGATTCAAACCCCAGCCGAACCAACACTCAGAGTCTTTAAATAACTGAGGAGAAAGTACTGCCTTTTTAATAACATCTGCAAACAGTTAGACTTTCTAGTCTTCTCGGATTGAGGACGATAAACCGTAGGCCCCGTCTCACAAGCCCTTGCACATGTAATAAATCTGTGGGATGTTAAAGAACCCACACACTCTCCGTAAAGAGTAGGGCTCGTAGTGCCCGGTGTAGTGGTCTATCTCACTTTCACACTCATGTATGGGGGCATCATTACTCATTCCTTCATTACTTGTAAACTGCACCTAAGCAGTCTGGCAAAGTCCCCCAGTCAGTGCTGTAATTATTCCTGAAAAGTCTTGAGGGGAGTGGATAATAAGATATTTAAAATTTACAATTTACAATTAGATGTGAGCAAGCGCAGGATACTTTTGCACAGCACTCTACTATCTAAACGCCCGGAAAAGGCCACTGAAGACCTTTCTTTGGTGTCAGCTAAATGCAGGTTCGTTTTAGTAAAAATAAGGTAACCGGAAACGTTTGAAACATAGTGAGCAACTCGTCCGCTTAGTACAGGGTGTCCTCTTAATATGGGGTCCGCAGATTTCATTGTAGTTGAATTTTCATGGTAACATCTGCTGAAACGAAGAGAAACAATTAAAAGGTCTTGAAACATCCAAGGGTAGTAATCTTATTAAGTCCAATCCCGGCTCCTCTTCCCAATCGCTACTATTTAGACTACTTTGAACACCAACAAATGCAGAGAGACAAGAGTATCTGTAACCAAGGGTCTTGTGATATCTCATCTTGTGGCATTTGAAAACAAACATACCTCTTCAATGGGCCCTTTGCGCGAAACGGTCTCATGGAACAAAGACACCTAGCTTGCTGGATACAGTAACGAGAGAAGAGGAAAGAGATTACTTCTTCCAAAAGTAATATCCTTTCTTTTCAAGGTCACACAGCATTGTTTGCCCTTCAGCAAGGTGTTTTTGTACCATGTGCATGTGATCGTTTCGTGCAGCAAGGGCCCATACTTCCACACTGTGTCCGACATAGGAAATGAAGAGGAGACTTATTTGTATTCCCAGTCTGTCCTAAGCGCAAATACTTTCCGTTTTGGCGCTCTGTGGAGACCTCAGCTTTAAAGTAGTTAATTGACTTCATTTACTAAAACCGATTAATATTCTTTCCAAATATTTCATAAGCTCGATTTTCACCGCTCTCTCGAGTCGGGTGCAGTTGTTGCACCGGAGCTTATGGCAGACTGTCATGGCCGCTGATAATCAACTGAGCTTGAAATATTTGGCCTTTTCCGATTGGCTTAAACTGCTTCGGTTACTTTAATCCATCCAGTAACACAACCGCTGGTGATTAGAAGTAGACACCTTTGAAGAAATGGATTGTCTGAATCCAAAAAAAAAAACGAATGTTGATGATTGAATGTACGAGATTTATTAGCCTGAGAAAATAGCCGACATTTTGGCGACGATACCACTGCAGTTTCCCCGCCAAATGACATCAATCATTTGGCGGGGAAACCAGTGGTAGCGTCGCCAAATGCTCAGGCTACGAGATTAGGTGAAAGACGTTTTCTTCCACTCCCCGGCAATCGACTTTGTTGCTTATTGGGGGGACAGGGTGGGGGAATCGGTCCTTGGTAGTCCTAAGACCACGTGCCTAAAAGAAACGACGGGCTCTGGGGACGAGAACGGGATTTTGGTCTTCAACACCAGTCTCACTCGTGCCATGCGCAAAACAAAAGATGAACTGAAAACGGAAGGGAAAACTAAAACTCTCTTTCTTCGCCAAAATAATAACGTTTCTGGCGAAGATGTGGCGAGGACTAAGGGTATACAGCGGGGTTTGTCCAGACCCGGAATGTCATACAAAACTTTATTTTCCATCTTATGCCTCTTCGAGCGTTGAATGCACAGGCTGTGGTCAACACCATGCCAAAGACTATCTTCTTAACGTGGAAGACATCGAAGACCCTGATGTGGCTTTGCGAAGTCTCCTTCGTTCTGTGTTGCTCGGTCACATGTCGTCTAAGACCACGCCAGACCTAGTTAAGGTCAAAGGATTTTCAAACTATCACTGTAAATTATTGTCACCGCTTTTAACACATTATGGCATGGATAAACGAACGGGAGAGGGAAAGCTTTTGAGCGAAATGGGGCAAGGAGAGGTCTTCGATTGTGCATTACTGGGCGATCGTGCCTTTCAAATCGAGACAGAACATATAGATACTGCTGGTTATGGTAGAGACAAAACGGGCTCGCTGATGTATCTGAAAAATACACTTGACGCGATAAAACTTGTTAACGACAACGAGGAAAGACTTATTCCTGTACATGTTGACGGTGATGGCCATTGTCTCGTTCACGCTATTTCGCGCGCTCTGGTGGGGCGAGAAATCTTTTGGCATGCTCTGAGAGCAAACCTTAAAAACCACCTGAAAACTGAATTGCACAAGTACAAAGGGTTGTTTAGAGATTTCATTCATGATGAGGAATGGAAAGACATCATATCTGAGGCAGACCCATATTTTGAACCTCCAGACGGAGAGGGACTTGGTTTGAGAAACATCCACCTTTTTGGTCTTGCTAATGTACTGCACAGACCCATAATTCTCTTGGACAATGTATCGGGTATGCAGTCTAGTGGCGACTACACTGGAATATTTCTTCCTGCGCTGATTCCGGAACACAAGTGTAAGAAAGACAACATTCTCAATAAACCACTTGCAGTTGCATGGAGTAGTTCAGGGAGGAACCATTTTATCCCTCTTGTAGGTGTGAAGGGCAAACCGCTGCCTAAGCTCCCACAGTGGTTGATTCCCAAAGCGTGGGGCATACCAAATGAAGTTGTTAAGCAGTATGTTGAATTTGACTCCCAGGGTAATTGTTTTATTGGTGGAGAGCGCTGTCTTCAGGAAAAATACCTCCAAAGGTTGGTCAAAGCTATGGATGACCTGTTTTTGAAGGTCAACAGCATCTCAGCAGAGCTCGTTACCGAGGTTCACCAGTTTGTTTACAAGCCGTCGGGAATGGTTGGCGTTAAACCTGAAACAGTTACCAAATCCACAAAAGTCGCTGTTGCTGAAGGACGGCTCTACAGATGTCTTTCCTGTAATGCATTGTCTGAGGTGCATGTTGACTTTTCATCAGAAATGCTTAAACAAGGTGGAGAGCTGTATGAAATTGCAGTTCAAACTCATGGGCAACTTAGAGAAGGATTAAGTTACACGTTTCCAGCTCATGACCTGACTTGTGTTTTTGATGCTGAAAGAAATTCATTGGTGGCTGTGAAACACAAGGTATTAAAAATTGATCCTTAAAACTTGCTCAATATGTAAATTTTTTTTCTTCTTTCGTCTCAGATTCATTTCCCTAATGCTAAGATAGAGGGGAGTAATAATCAAACTAGTGAGAAGTCATTCCAAAATGACTGTCTCTCAGCATTACAGCTGTTTTGGATAACACACGACCTGCGTTGTCAAAAAGGTTTCAGGATTTTGGGTTTTCCTTCGACGTCACTAAACGGTTACTGTATCGTCCAATCCTTGCTTGTCAAAAAAAGGCGGCAACAGTTAGCAGAAGCTGCAAAATTAAATGTTGAAGGGAACATAACGATTCCTTTTCACCCTCCCATATCTGTGCCCATATCCGTGTTTCTTCTGGATTTGGAAGCTATATAGGCACAATCTCACCTTGTGAGTCAAAAAGGCAAAAAAATTGAAAGCTAAAATGTGAAAAGTTTACATCACACAACCGAATATCAAAGCACAAATCCTCCCAATCCACAAGGCAGAGAGTGGGGAAACGTATTGCGCATTTCGAAAACATGCGAACTCTGAAGTTCAGAAGTAATGAACACACACAAAATGGATCGGAATCCGCCAATCAAAAATTACAAACCATGACCTTTTGAACCTATTGAAGTAAACTTCTGTGTTCTAAGGAGTCTGCTAGAAAGTGTGGAGCCTTTAGATTTTGATTTATGTTGCAGAAAATACCAAAATCTAAAGACCTTTTTGACATCACAGGTCACGTGTTATCCGAAATAGCTGTAGTAACCACCTACTATACAGGTACCTCTGTTTAAAAGGTACTATTATTAAGATTAATCTTATGGTTATGATTGCAATTATTATTATTATTATTATTATTATTATTATTATTATCAAATTTAAAGGACGATATGATTGTAGCTAAATTTAGGGTTAGGATTAGAGCTCATTGCCTATACATTAGAGCAGCAATACTCTACACGTACAGTATGTACCAACTGAGTTGTGAAGACCCATACATTTGGAGCAGGCTAATTTGTGGAGTTTATCTTAACTCATAAAAAGAATAAAACATATGGAATAATGACGATTATGTGAACTGCAAAAATATAAATCTATTTATCGTGAGCACTGCAGCACTAATGCAAAAGCCATTGGTTTGGGTTACAATGTAATTTGCAGTTGCTTTAATTGCTATTACAACTGCAATGATCCTTCCTGAATTAGTTTTCATTTGCCTAAAGAAGCATTAAATGCTTTGCCCAAAATACAATTTACAATCAGAATGAACTTTTGAAACACCCTGTAATTGCCAGTCAAAATAATGATTATAAACTCTGAGTCATTATTCGAGCACTGGACTTGCCCATGGAAAGCCAAATTTTAAGAATCAGTTGAGTTGGGAAATAACGCACAGTATGAATCATTGCCAAAGGTTGAAGGTCAAAAAAACTCAATTTTTCAAATATATGTAACCTTTCTCCACCTATTTTCCAAATATACATATCAATAATTTGCTCTGCAATGATATTGATTCATAGTTATTTTGGTAAATGCAGGCGATTTTTCCTGCCTGTTGCATTCATGTTTCCCACCTCTTCTTTACATGACTGTTCTTTTGGATACTGTGTTAAACCAAAATTAATAATCATGATAAAGCAATGTTATACACCTGGCCCAGGTTGTTCAAACGTTGGATAGCGCTATCCAGCGGATAAGTATTAGGGAAACCTATTGCGCTATCCTCTGGATAGAGATTTATCCACTGGATAGCACTATCCACCTTCTGAACAACTGGGGCCTGTAGGATGAGTAGAAGTACGTTTTATCCTCAAAAAGAGGTTTTTAGTAAAAGTTCAAAGATCAAATGAAACACTAGGTAAGATTGAACTGCATTTCTCAATGTACCTGAAAGGTACATTTGATTTCGGGTTGAGGTAAACGCTTTTCAAACTGGCAAAACTAGTGTCCAGGTCAGCTGGATCCCATACATGTAGATGACGGTATTCCTTCAGTTACCTACATTCATTTTGTTGCTTGTAGAATATGACTTTACTTGAATGTCGACATTGCCATGGTCCTCTTCGCCGTGTCAACTCAGATGGCAGTGTAGTCTATGCAAATGGTGACAGAACAGCAACACCTGTTGAGGGTAGAAGCCGATGTGGCTGTGGCTTTAAACATTATTGGAATGGACAAGAATATGACAACATGCCAGAGAGGTATTAGAATGAATAATTAAATTTTAAAAAATGACCATTGAATAATTGTATTCTTTACATGCACATTATTTATGATTGATACAGCGATAAAGCCAATACACATAAATAAAAATGATTCAAGTAAATTTTGTTTCAGGCTACTGTTCCTAATAATAATGGCAACCTATTGTGACCATCAATTTTTCTCTTAATTAATTTTTTGTGATTGATAATAGGTTTGGTTCATATTGTTATCCTTCAAATATGTTTGTCACATTTCAAAAGAGTGTGATATGCAATGACAGGGTGTTCATTAGGCATCAGAGATCAGAGAATTCTTCATTAACTATGAAAAATTCTCCTCCTAATGTTCAGTAGCCTGTGACTATTTTTTATTCAGATGAGAAGCCTCTTTCAAAATAATTATTCTCCTGTAACATTACACCTTTCTCATGCTACTAGAATTCTTAAAGAAAACCCTGCAATAATGTCGACCTTAAATTGCAGTGGATATACTGCAATTTAAGGAATTTGTGGATATACACTGTACATCCACAACGTGGTTATACTGTGGGACCTCAATATATCAAAGGGCCAAGGGAATGCCAAAATATGTTCGCTATAACAAGGTTTCCTTACACTGTATGGAGGTTCTCTTTCATATATTTAACTATTACTGGGGTGAAGAATACAGTAAAAACCTACGCCTAAGAATGTGGTTTTTAAGAACCTGTTAAGCCTAAAATTTGAAACAGGTTCTTATTTTCTAAAACAGATGCTAAACAAATTCTGTACACTTGGGTAAATAAGATAAGCCAACAATTAGGATCCTCTTTGGTGTGCCTGGCTACTATAACTGCAGTTGTAATGGTATACAGGTCTTTTCTATAAGGAATGGGCTGAATGCCACTAAATGCTCTTAGCTACAATGTATTACTTCTTCAGAAAATAAGAACCGATTTAAGAACCTAAAGAGCCTAGATTTGTTCTAATTACCATTAATTTATATAAGAACCTGTGCAGGCTAACTTGGGAAAATGCAAGTCCTTAGTTGCAGGTTTTTACTGTATCATTTGTTTTGGGGAGTAGTTTGTCAAAGGTTTGTTATATCAAGGTTTCCCTGTAGATATTTTCTGGAACCACGCAAGTAACCCAAAATGTTACACACAAGGGGTGGAGGAATGTAAATCCAAAATCATTTGCAGTGAAATACATGTTTCCTTCTTTTTAATCTTGTTAGTTTTCCTATTAACTTGGAGTGGGGTGGCCAGACTGTCTCAGATGTTGTGTACTGGTTCCAGTATGAACAGGATACTTCGCTTAATTCCAACGTTTATGATGTTGCTGCCAAACTTGTTCAGAAGCACTTTCCTGGAGAATTTGGAAGTGAGCGACTGGTTCAGAAGGTGGTGGACATTATTTTAAGACAGACAGCGAAAAAAGAAGGTGAAAACAAAGGTGAGAATATTGAATTTGGGTAAATTTTGTGACACAACTCCTTGAAATGCAGGGATAAGTTTAACAATACGGTTTCATTGTAACAAAAATAAATAATCTTTAGATTACTTGTGTGATGCCATGCACCAGAGATTTATTCACAGCTGGCAAGTATAAGGCACACCTGACAGATAAGATAAATAATAATTTTATATATATTGTAAATGAATAAAACTGTGAAAGGTTTGAACCCAGGAGTTAATTCATACATGTTCTTACGGCGCAGGTTGAGTATGATTGTCCAGGTGAATGTTTTCCTGAATAGGACTGTTGTTGACAGTGACTGATGTTTTGACATCCTGTACGGTAGCCATCTTCAGAGTCAAAGGGAGTTTTATAGCGTCAGTTGATGGTATTAAACTCTGGGTGTTGATCTTATTGGTCAATTAAGTCGCGATTATTAGTTTTCGTCTGTGAGTAAAGCCATGATGATGTTATTGGCTATGAAGACTCGTAATGTCATTGGTGCATTTTGATCCGTTAATATTTTGTCACAGTTAAACAGTCATTTATTGTTAGTCAAATTGTCGGTTGTCCAGTCATTCTCTCATAGGTACATTGTAGTTTTGCTTGAGTCCATCAATAAGTCGTTTTTGTGGTGCCAGTAACTCTGTTGACTATGATTCAGTGTGAGATCAATAACCAGAGTTTAATCATCAACTGATGTGATAAAACTCACTTTGACTTTGAAGATCATGACTACCACACATGTTGTTGAAATGCCAGTCACTGTCAACAACAGTCCTATTCATGACTACGTTCACCTAGACAATCATAACCAACCTACATGTCCTTGTAAATAAATAGATAAATAAGCGATGTTTCAGCGACCTCGCGACTCCTTTATCAAGGGTTGAGTAAATGACAGCAAGTTAAAATTAAGAAAATTTAGGTAGCTAAGCTATACAAAGACTTCATCACAGATTGTACCTGTTTGCATGTTCAAGTCAGATCTTCCTGAAAAAAATTAAACTTGAGAATGTTACTCAAATGTTTCAAACATCATTTACAAGAGTAAAAAACATTAAATATCAATTTTACTTGTTTATATATCTCAAAGTCATTTAATAGATATAGATAGATGTTATTGTAGATAAATAATTATATTAAATTTGTACTGTCTTGTCTATTTATATTATCTTACTCAGGGGCACGCCCTGACAATGTTCCTCAAAACACACATGCAGCAAATGCTGATGAAGACCCAAATGCTGTCAGCCCCTTCACACCAAGCAAGATCATTCTAACAGGAGAAAAGAAAAAAACCTTGCACAGAGAAGAGCTTACCATGAGTGAAACTGAAAGAGTGCTTAAGACAAGGACAGAGCACCATGCTGCCATCATGCAGAAGAGAAGAAGTGGAGAAGGAGCCAAGAAGTTGGTGAACAAAGAGGCCAAAGTACCAAAACAACAGGTACATATATGACGTGTTTGAAAACAAGGAGCAAATAAAGTCAGTTTTACAGCTTGCCATTTGGGCAAGCTGTTACTAACTTTTATTAGCCCACAAGTCATTTGGACTAGCCCCCAAAACTTTTTTATGAGCAGAATTGATTTCAGAGCTCTTTCTCAAAAACTTCATTTGCCCTTTGGGCAAGTTGAGAATAAAATTCACTCACCAGATAGCAAAATCCACTAGCCAAGGGCTATCGGACACTACTTTCTTTGCGTGCTGAGTTAAAACACTTACAGTAAAATTTTTGTTGAGGTAAGATTAATGTTTACTTCAGTTCAACCCTTTGATCACTGAGATCAAAATTTGAATTCTCATTTGTTGCCCTATTCATTTCCTACAGAAGTAGTGTGGAGAGGTTGATAAAATATCACGCAAATTCTTCTTGTGTGATCATATCCGTAATTCTCATGATGACTCTGTTTTATAAAGCGTTGATATTACAAGGAGAAATTTGATGCTGATCTCTCTTAGGGGTGAAGGGTTAAAGAGGCTCATACAGTGCCTCTTCTGGTTATTTATGAAGGTATTGTGTAGCAAAGTTTTTTATCTGTCCAAATTTGGGTTACATGACAAATGGGTCTGTACTGCCTAGTATGGTTGGTTTTTTCTTCATATCGAGTCGAGTGGACACAGTTGCCTTGGGAAGAAAACCAAAACTGTAAGTTACTGTTAGCAACAAAATCCAGTCAAATGCTCAACCTGTAAACAAGATTTTGTCTGATTGTGAGCAGAAAATGGCTCTATTTCTTGTAATTTCAAATGGCTTTTCTTTGGTAAAATATCCAAAGGAAAAGGCATCAAATAGAATACTTACAAAAGTACTTGTACGTAAGGTGTATGATCAACTCTGGGTTTAGACCTTGGTACATGTGCATGTAAGTTGTAAGTGTTTTTTTTTCCAACTTTTGCCCCTTTTTCTTTCTTGGCATTTTACCCCTTTATTTCCTGAGCTTTGTGAGGCTCTGTAAGACACATTTCTAGTTTTAGTAGCATGAGTGCAGATGTGGCCTTTTCCCACATACTTCATAAATAATATTCTCTGAATGCAAACTGGATGTGAGATGGTGAAAGGTAAATCAGTGTGCTCTTTTCTATGGAATCTTTTATTGCCACGCCAGTTTTCACCATGATAGAGCCCAAAATTAATGTGACAGTTTAACTTCATCATTCAAGGGTGGAAACATAAACTGGTAGGAAATGGATGCTTATGTCCCTAATTGTTGTATTTGTTTTTCTTTCTCTGTAAAAAAGGGGGGAAACAAACCACAACCCTCCAGCCTTCAAGCAAGTCCTGTGAAACAAGAGAACAACCAAGTCTCACCTGGACAGCCAACTACAAAACGAACAGACAAAAAAGTGCGCTTGTCAACATCGGATGGGAAACAATGCATGATAACGCTTGCTGTAGATGCCACATTTAAACAACTTCAAGACCTGATTGAAAAAGAACTTGGGATCCCTTCAAAGGAGTTAAGGATCAGGTAAATGAAAGCTTTGTTGATTTAATGTTGACAAAATAAGTGATAGCTTTATCTAATTTATTAGACTTACCAAGCTGAAATTGTTGTAAGCTTAAATGGATAAACTGAAGAAAATTTTCATATACATCAGTTACAGTGTAATAATTTATTACATTGGTGTAACACAAGCATAACTTTCCTTTGTATAAATTAAATAGCTGGAGTTTCACACAAACTACATCTAGTATTTACATGTATATCAGACTTTGAAGGCTTACAGTGAACCTCTCTTTTTTGTCTTTCTTTTACTTAAGATTTGAGCCAATAATAAAATTTTCACCACAACATCTATCTGTGCATTATCTTCAAACATCAGGTATGGATTTCCACCCCATGAGCTACAGCCTCCTGAAGAGGGACATGAGAATGACCCTGTGCCTTTGCAACATGGTGACAGGGTGATGGTAGAACACCTAAAGCCTACTGTTCTTGAAGAGCAACCCCCTGATGTGGTTATGTCGGAACTGAAAGCTCCAGGCAGTGAAGGTGGTGCTTCTACTAGTGCCAGTGAAAGTAACCAGCAAGGACAAGGTATATTGTGTATAAACTGGATACAGTGCATGTGCAGTTGAACTTCCCTTTAACTTCAGCTTCCCTTCTAAAGCAGGGGTTTCATTAAGGTTTTGAACAGGAGGGCGACTGGGTTTGACCCCTGGGCAAAGAGTTGGCCCCCCTGGAGGGGGGGGGGGTGGTACGTCATGGTCCCCTGGAAAATTTTGAAATTCTATAGTTGCAGAGATGTGTTTTCCCGCATTCTCAAGCTGCAGATGTCTTTCAACTACCAAAAAACACAACTTTTCTAGACAATTTAATCACGAGTTGATTCCAATATCCACCACGCAAATTGGTTCTCTTTTAATAGTTCATAATTATTGAGACTTTTCAGATGGTCTTTCATGGAGCACAAATCTTTTCGCAATGGATTATGGGGCGATTCTTGTTTTAAAACATAACAAATGAGGGGATTTCATGCCGTGTGTTAATGAGGAAATTTGATGGTAAAGTATGTTTTACGTTTGAGAAGACTCATTAAGAAAAAGGACACAAAAACTGTTTTTGATTGTTCCTTGTATTAAAATAAGTTCTATGTGATGATAAGCAGCCGGGGAAAGTTGCATTCACAGCCGGTCAATTTACCCAGTGCCCAGCCCTTAATGAAACCCCTGCTAAAAGCATCTGCTTATTTAAGGGAAGTTGAAAATGAAGTGTTTGTGTGTAGCTGTGGCCACCATGACTAAGTGTGTACCAATGGAACATGCCTATGTACAGGACGTGTTCATTACCCCTTTAGGTCCCAAGAGTGACCAACATCAATTTTCTCCTAACAACATCGGAGATTATCAAGAGTAACGGTTATGAGAATTACTAATTAGGTTACCAAAGGGAGAATGCTTTGATCTTAAACCAAATTCTCTCAACTATTCTTAAAAGAAATGTATGGAGATCAGTCTGGAGAATTTGTATGTGGATCGTGGGGCTTTAAGGGTTAAAAGAGTTTGAACTGTGTATGGAGTACATGCATCCCATTGTCTGACACTTAGTCATTGTCCCAAGTGACATACAAAGATGAAGTCAACATCTCTCCTAACTAGGTGAACATTTTTTCTTGTCCAAAGGTTGTCACTTTATTAAGGTTATTGTAAGACATAGAAAATCAGAGAGTTTCAATGTGTCAGCCAAAAGAGTGATTGAGGCTACTTATAAGAAGACATTGAAAAGTTCCAGCAGGTTGTGAAGCAAGATTTTCATGGGAATTTTTTGGGTCTCAAAGTTACATGCACATGTTTGTTTTCCTCTGGCGTCCTTAACCAAATGGTGCTCATTTTGGTATGTTTGCAAGATCTGTTCACCCTGCACATTTTAGATGACAAAGATGTCCTTGCCCCTTAAACTGATGACGTAACAAGTGGTAGAAGGGACGTGGATCCACATCGGTGGTTATGGGCGGTTTAAGGGCAGATGTGGGTATAGAAGGGCATAAGAAGGGTCGCACAAAACAGTCTGCCCTTTCTGCTCTCAACATAGACAGTGTTACTGAAGAGAGTTAATTTATAAAGGGTTAAACACCACAGGCCACCCATTTTAAGTCCAGCACTTTAACCATTTCAGATTATTATTTGCTTGGCCCCTTTGTTCCTGCTGTTATAAACATATCATTAATTTTTTTGTAATTTTATCTCTTTTACTGTAATATTTCTGCAGGTCAAAATAATGCAGCAATGGCATCAGTTCTTCTCAGTGCCCTTGGGGCTTTGACTGGACAAGACATGTGGGAAGCTGCACAAAGTTGTCATGAAATGTTTGATAGGGGAGGATACTTTTACAACAAAGTCTGGCATGATCTTGGTCCACTCAAACCTAACCAGCATTGTACTCTGCCATTCTTTCCTAACAAGGTCTGTAAAAAGTGATGACTTTTTTCTTCAAGCTACAGTAAAAGGGGTGGAGGCGTGTGTGTGGTTTTAAAAACACCTCAAACTCAGGATCTGGAGGTCCGAGGTTCAAGTCTCACCCGTTGCATTGTTTCCTTAGACAAGGAACTTTACTCTACTTTGTCTCTCTTCACCCAGGTGTATTAATGGGTACCGGCGACATGCTGCTGGGGGTAACCCTGCAGTGGACTGGCATCCCGTCCAGAGGGGAGTAGCAATACTCTTAGGTGCTTCATGCTAATGAAACCGGGTTAAACTCCAGCCGTTCGGGGTTTTGGCTCATGTATGCCTTTATCTTTTTACCTTGACAGTAAAAGGGGCAACAAATATGTGCAACTTGTTTTGCAACTTCGACTGGAAAACGAGTCGAAAAGGAATGTTGTGTTTTTAACCACCCATGTTCAAACCTGTTTGACTGAATAATCCATTTGGGTATATGAAATAATAGATGTTGTCTATTGGTCATGTTTACAAGTTTATGACATAATAGTACATGTTGATGGTACTAGAGATATGATTTCAATGTTAGTGACAGGCTGTTAAGATGTGAAATTGTTAACACTAGGCTTTAGAGAGACCTTGTGATACATGTCATACAATGGGTCGTTACATGACTGTAGGGACCCTTGTCTTCTGTTTGCCTTTCATTTGCCGAACAGAATGGAGAAGGTGTTTTAACTTGTGTGTCTACCATCCAAAAATTAATATTTGAATTCTTTCTCTGCTTTAGAGGTAGGATGTTTAGGGTAAACTGCTGCTTACATGTATAAGCCCTCCACACCTGGTTATAAGTCCCCTCTAGCTTTTCTTTCCTTGAATTAGACTTATTATAACGTTTTGGACCTTAATTAAAAACCAGTAAATTTGCTGCTATAGCTTGTTTCCAAGTGCATTTTCAGGTATTTTTTATTTCGGTTATTATAGCTCCCTTGGATATATTCCCCTCCATTCATAAGCCGTCCTGAACATAAGCCCAGGGCTTATAAACAGCGGTTTACGATAGTTATAAATTTTGTCACTTGGTATGCTGCACAATAAGGCAGGAAGTAAATGGCTTAATCTGACTAAGGCTTTTTCATGGTTTTCTTCTTCAGGTGTTTGCATACAATGCCGAAAAAGATCGCTTAGACCTGTGTCTTGGTCAGAGACACATCCAAGTTCAACCACTGGACAAAGAAACATTACAGCTGGCTCACTCTCGGTCAACTCAAGTGCCCACAGATGAAAGGTCTAGTGGTCTATCAAGTGAAGCTAGCTTCAGTGGCGCTATTGGTCACAGGGGAACATCACATTCTCGCATTGCTTTTTCAGGCGAGGGACGAACTCTTTCTAATGTCCAGCCTCCTGGTATTGGTTCTGCTGAGGTACATGTACCTTATTGTAACATATGATTTCTTGGTTGGTGATTTTAAAATTGCTATACACTGTAAACGAATAGTCAGAATGACTAGGGGGAGATAACTTCTTGTTTTCGGGGCTGTCATCAACGGGCCAGGGCCCACAGATAAACAATAACACTGATAAAGAAAACTGCTGATATTCATATTGATAAAAGTGTTTGATATTTATTTCTCAAACTCATTAATAATTCATTAAGAAAATACAAAGGAAATTAATGTTTAATGAGTGTTTGGAAATCGGATGAAACACTGCTTAGTATTTGCATCCTTAATTTCTCCTTCAAAAATGATTTTGTTTGAGAAGAAATATCAAACATTCGACACAGTGTTTCATCACCAGATGAAACACCTCGAAGTTCGTCAAAAATACTCCACTGCGCATCGTATTTTCAACTCTCTTGTCGGTGTTTCATCTGGTGATGAAACACTGCATCTCATGTTTGATATATTACTTCTCAATCTTACAAGCTCAATTTTTGCACCCCCTTGCCACCACCACTCACTTCCCACCACCCCCCTCGCCATTGAACGCACTCTCCTTATTTGCAATTATTACTAGTTTACAATCTATTAAGGTGAGGAAACCAAACGTTTTTTCTCTTTTCCCTTAAGTTTGTAGGGAAATCAACCACTTTATTTAAAAATGTAATGTAATGTAATGCGCAGCTGATCATTCTCATGTTAAGCTGCGCACAATAAGGTCATAAATTATTATTATTATTAAAAAGAAGTCCTATGCAACACCCTGTATTTCTCAACCATGGGTATTAGGAATGATTAGATAAAAATATTTGGATACCTTGGGCACTATTACTGTAATCAGCCTTACATTTTGTAAATGGGCTGGCAAGCCATACAGGGGTTTGTAGTGAATCAATGTTCCTTGTTGCTCTATGCCCCTTTCAGTGTTGTTCAGCTATCGTGTAGGTATCCGGTCATTTCCTTCCATGGTCGGATCGTTCCACTCATTAGTCATATTGTCCCCCCCCCCCCAAAAAAAAAGTTCGTTCGTTCCACAGAAAGGTCAGATCGTTCCACATACAAAACGTAACGTAAAGTTTTCTAAATGTGTCGATGTGATCTGAGTACAGAGTAGCGATCGGAACATAGATGAAAGTATTTCGAACTGTGAGACTGAGTTTTTTGTGGAACGATCTGACCATGGAACGAACTTACCGTAAATCATTGTGTATGTGTAATTTATCAGGCAGTGACAGATTCAGTGCGATGACTTTTCTGGGAATCTATAGGACTTGGGTGAAATCTTTTAGTGATAATAAAAAAGAAAACCTTAGATTTCGTCGAGAATACAGTAAGCACCCCCCCCCTATAACCTCCACCCTCCCAGTTATATATTGTAGCCCCACCTACCTGTTATCAACAGCCACAAAAAGCCCCCGGATTAAATTGAATTTGATTTATTATGACGTTTTCAAGGTTAATTTAACACCAGTAAAGGCAAGACTCATTTTGATCAGCACTGCTAAAGCTTGTTCCGAAGCACTTGTTCTATTCCCGTAAGAAGCCCCCTCGGATATAAGTTCCTCCGTTTATAAGCCCGCCTAAGACCCCTTACGGAGATGTACATGTATAAGCCCAGGGTTTGTAAGGGGCCGTTCACGGTAAGGGAGATTTTCAGGCCCTAAGATGCTTTTCGTTACCTGTGGAACAAGGTACGGGTTCAGTAATCATGACTTAGTAGAATCTTTACAAACTTACACTTTATCTATTTAATTGTTAGTCTCTCTCGTCTGGAATCCAGTTGGCTGGTCCCAGGACCTCTGAAATAGAAAATGGCAATTCTGTGTCCTTTAGCAGTGAAGAAGGACTTGCAAAAGATCAAGGTCAAACAAGTTCTTCAGAATCAGTGGTCGCTAAAGAAGGCAGCATACAGGTAGAGGAGAATATCCAACAAATGCTTGTTGAAAGCCAAGAAGTAGTTGCTTCTGTGCCTAAAGTTCAGGGTGGTGAACCTGTGCCTGAAGTGGTGACTGAAAGTGGTATTCCTGTGACACGGTCAGTTGCGCAAGTGGATGAGAGTCAGTCAGAAGTGAAACAGACTGTACAATCTGAAGGCGGTCAAAGTATTGCAACCGAAGCAGCTACTGAGATGGCAGCAGAAAATGAGAATATGGATGTAAAGATAGAGGAGAACGTCCAAGAACCTTTTCTTAGCAGTCCTGTGCCTATGGTGGAAGAGCCGACCACAGACACACCAGCAGAAATGACATCAAAGCCTGTGGAATATGAAGGCGCTGACACAGGACTGGCGATTGAGAGTTCAATGGGAAATGAAAACATGGAAACACGTCAGGATAAGGCAAAATGTGATGTGACGGATGATAATTCAACAAAAGTCACAGAACAAGGAGAAAAAGGAGAGGACCATTCAAATGATTCCAAAGAATGTATTTCCATGATGGAAACTGATCAGATTGGTACAAAGGAAGGTTACATAGCTCAGGAAGTCACACCGGGCACGCTTGGTAGCCACGCCCCCGGAGCTAGTGCAAACGATTATAACAACAAGGACCCTATCGTAGACCTTGCATCTGTTTCCATGGAAACTGATCATGTGACTGATAAAGAAGACACCTTGTCTCTGCAAGTCGCACAAGGTACGTTTGGTGTCCAGGCTTCTGGTGCCATTGACAATAAAAGTGTTGGAAAAGACACTGTGGTTGATTTAAATCAACTTGATACGGTTGGAGATTCGACAGGCCTTCAGTTGAGTGAGAGAGCAATGACATATCCATCTGTTGCCATGGATATGGAAATTGACAATCAAGGAGAAACTAGCGAGCCTATTCCCGCATCTACCTCTAGTGTGCAGCCGCAAGACAATTATCCCTTATCAGACATTTCACTTAATACTGAGTCACTTAATAGCGCAGATACTGCAAATTTGAAAAGGGACGTGATACCAACAGCACCGACCGAAAAAAGTGTAGATCATGATAGCGAGCCCGCAGTGCAGTGAAATAGCATAATTGTAGCGGAATATGAATGTGGTTGTAAGCCATCAGTTGACTGGGCGGTCTTCATGTTCATACAGCGCGATGTAACAAGGAGCTGCTAGAGGTTTACTCGATCCCGTACTACGGATGGAAAGCAGGACGTTAAGATTTTCATCTTTCTTTTAAAATGCTAAGATTTGACATTTTTTTAGTGTTAGTAGGGTTATTTCAGTATTCTTACTTAGTCAAGGATCAAGTGGCCCTCTCTACAAAGGCTCTCACTTTTAGTCAGCGGTGTCAATTCCATGCTGATACAATGTATGGAGTTGAAAAAAAATCTATTAAAATAGAACCTCAAGCACAAAGTTTGAAGTAAAATAGCGTCGGTTGCATCTATGCTTGGACACGAGACAAAAAACAGGTTCTAATAGGGTGCCAGACATGGTCAACTTGTTTTGCCGCCAAACATTTGAAATTCGACAGCCGTTAAAACAAACTGTCGCACCAAAGGTTAAGTTGTTTACATGTTTTTGATGAACGCGTTCCACTCATCTTTTATTTTTTGCAATTTTCAGTAATATTTCTTGCACAAAAACAGCGCATTTGCTTTTAAGAATCTTTCTTTGGAGTTTTACAACTCCAGAAATTCTTCTTAACGTTTTGCGATGAATATTTTGTTGATCGAAATCAAATCAAGTCTACAAACAGGTGTCTACGTTGCACGTGAGCATTCGCCTAACGCCAACCCAAAATTCAGCAGTTCGGCGGCAATTACAACGTGTTTTTTCGTCACGTGTACACGCCCAGATGCAACCGACGGTTAATGGTTTGCCAGCATCGTACGAAGTTTTTCGTCAGGTTATACTTGATATGATTTGCTATAATAAGAGGCCTTTTGGAAAGTTCCAAAACTCTTCACGTTCAAAGTGAGGCCAAGTTCAAAACTTGTCACATGAAAAAGAAGAATAGAAAACTATTTGAGCACCTACCCTCGGTTTGAAAAAGGTGTTTGGGGTAACTGATAAATGGCAACATATTACTGTTTAACAGTAGTCAATGTCCAGAGAATTAATCCAGTGTTAAGAAATTTAGTCGACTCAGTTGAAAGCATTCTTTTAGTTAGTGCGAATTAAGAGCGCCGATCTGGTAGATAAATGTATTGGGTTTTCATTCTTGGAACTCGGACCAGTCCAACCAAGTTCCCAGGATCCCCTCCTTGGAAACGAGTTTGCCCTGGTCACGCCTATTTGGGCAAGCGAAGCGAGCCTCGCGAGAACGCGCGAGCGAGGGGCTTCGCCGCTCGCTCGCGCGTTCTCGCGAGACTCGTCTCACTCGCCCAAATAGGAGAGCTTGCTCGTAGGCTACGTCTTAGGCGCCTTGACTACGTGGAAAACAAAGAGCGCGAGGTTTCTTGGGAATTATGCAATACATGCAGCGCGTTATGGAGCTCACTTTACCTTCATATGAATCCAACATTTTTAAGATTCTCCATGTACAAAAAGGGCTATAACGTATAGTAGGTTTATACTCTCTGGGAATACTGGCTGTAGCTGTCTTCTTAAAGAGACAGTGCTATCATAATGTCATGTTTTTTGTTATCAAATGCCCTTAAGAGTGATTTTGTAATTGCTTTGGTTTTACATTGCCACAGCCAGAATTGAACGCTGGTGGTTTTATGTTTTACTGCTAAATTGAAATTTACTGTTATTTTTCTTTGTAGTAAGGAAACATGTGTTTACCCAAGAGATCATTTTAGGACTATTATAATCTCTTGGTTTACCTAAACTCTAATCACTATTTTCAGTGCTCACTCCCATATGAGAGATCACTTTGTGTAGGCGTAACGGGGTGTCCAGGGTCAGTTTTTAGTATTGAAACAGTCATTGTTCACCTTGTTTTCCAGGCTTTTATTGCCCTAGGGTATTTTTCCCATTTCTCGGTTGAAAGAAAAATTCAACCAGGACTCTGTAATTCGTTATGTCGAAGTTCTTACCGGTTGATACCGTATCCTCAGCTTGCTTCTGCAGTCGAGGAAAAAAAAGTCGATTGAAATCTAAGTAGCCTGCGTAGCAAGCGTTTCCGTGCGGTTTAGGAGCAAAGAACGAGGAACGAGAGTCAAACACCGCGCGAAAAAGGGCGGAAGTTTCATTTCTCGCGCGGCCAAAACCGAAAATCCCGTTCCTTGGTCTTTTTTTGCTATGGAACCAAACGGAAACGCTTGCTACGCAGGCTAAAATCTAAGAGTTACAGGCTTGCCCCCAGGCCAGTTCGCGCTATCCGAGTAAGCAGTGGAGGCTTGGAACCCAGCGAGAATGGCGTATTCTCCCGACATGCTTGACAGGTGACGTCACAGTCTGGGAAGGAGACTGTATAACGCAAGTGTTCTTTGACAGCAACACTCTTTTTAATGGGACACAAGTTTTACTTGAAAAAGAAAATCTGAGCAAGTTTTTCCCTTTATACCACCAAGGAGGACTTGCCCGTGCAATTGTTTCCATTAACTCTATGATGTTTAGAAACTGACATGTACGCTATAGAATTGGATCAAGTTTAATGAAAGATATATTTTATGATTTTTTCAAATATTTTCTCTTGTGCGCTGGTACTTAGCGCTAGGCCAAATAGCGCTAACCCAAAGTTAAATTTTAACCCAGGTTTCTGTTTCTTTTGTTAAAAAGCATTTTTCCCGGATAGTTTTCTCTATTCTTTTAAGAGAATCCAATCATCAAATTATAGACAGAAAGATTAAAACTGAATTTGCTTTTTAAGCCTTCGTACTTGAATTCAATTTTCCCACCAACCCTGTGTTATCGAACCCTGCTTTGAACAACCCGGTCCTGTCTATTAAAGTTTACTGAGTATAATATGGAGCGCTCACTTTATTATTTGATAGGATTTTTTGTCACGCTTTCCATTTCCCTTTTATAGTTTGCCGACGAATTGATCGACAAACCAATGAACGCTATGAACAGAAGAAGATACCATTTGCCAGTCGAAACTCACTTTTCATTGTCCTGTGATGATTTACGCAAATTGAGGCCGAGTTTTTGTTTTTCAGTTTGATATATATTTTCTTGCTACAATCAGCGAACAGAAAACCGCAGTGATGGGATCATTTAGTTCAAAGATGCACGTTTCTTCGTCTCAGAGGACTAAGAATGACCGAAAACTCTCCAAAAAAGGCGCAAATCCAAGCGGAACGGCAGGGAACTCAAAATCTCAAGCTCGATCGGAAGCGACGAATGAAGACAAGGCGAGAGCTGGCAGCACGAACAACGAACAACCCAGCGAGGCGAAAAAGAGACCGTCATTTTCATGGCTGGTAGAAACACCTGTAGTTTTACACACGAGCTCAAAAGAACAAGACGACAAAGGGAAAAAAGCGGCCGCAGACGGCAAAGGAAAGGTTAACAATGTTGGGTTACAAAGCGATGACAAATATCTAAAATCGGTGGAGTTGCCTTCGACATCAAACGGTAAATCGAAGCGTGTTCATTACCAAGACAGTTCGACATCCTGTTCCTCAGAAAAGCAAGGGAAAAACGAGAGTAATAACTCATGGAATACCGAAGGAATCATGGCGAAAAGCACTTACCAAATGAACCAAAACCCGAGAAGTAATGATGATGCGACGGCAAGTTACCCTGCTGGTTTTGGCGTGGTTGGCAAAAATGATAGTCGAGTCGGCTCGAGGACAACCAAATAGCGATGCTCATGTATCGGGGGCACCCAACGAGACTATAGTTCAAAACCACTTAAACATAGCATTGTTAAATGTATTTTAGTATTTAAACGGCAGATATAGGCATATTTTTATCCCCCCCAAATTTTTGTCTGTTCGTATTTCCTAGCCGAAAGTCTACTGATTCGAAAATTATAGGGATCCAAACTTACCTTTTCGAAAATTTTAGCCGGAAAAAGGGCTCCCGAAAATTCTAGTTGACCTTTATAGGGCAAAAATCCGTTAAAAATGGGCAATTATACCATTATTTAGATGTTCGAAAATCCTAGGAGAGGCAGGCAAGCAATAAATTTTACAACAAATGTTCCGAAAATTCTAGATCTCACATCGTCTTGCGAACAGATATTTTCCGAAAATTGACGTTGGGTGCCCCTGATGTACAGCTCATTTCAACTTGAGTGAAGAGCGTTGTTAGAATGTCGTTATAATTAGACATGTAGAGATCTGAATACAAGTATGTAATATTTTGTTTAAATTCATTTTTAATACCTCTGATGCAAATAGACTTGAATTTACCATTTTTCGGTTACAGTTTCGATATTTGGAGCTTTTTAAAGAAGACCATCCGTTTAATATTTCCTGCACCAATTTTGCAACAACTGAAAATCTATTCACTGAATTTTCTCAATGAGGACAGTTATTTCAGAATATAAATAAAGGAAATAACGCAAAATAACTCCTTTCATGAATTCACTCGTTTATATCTTTATGTTTAAAATCCAGACATGGTTTGTCCCCACAGTAAAATCCTTTAATTTTTCCAACAGTTCCGTAGCTAACTCAGTGGCATGCACGTTCCCGCTTTGTACGTGTCAAGGTTACGACTGACATTACTTAGTAAGAATGAAAGAAAAACTAATTTGCTTAGTATGTATGCCAGAAACAGGCCGGTAAATTACTCTCGAAGACACTGGCAAAATAACTAAACTCAGACATGTCTCTTAAAGTTTAAATCCCTTATTGTTATTATTAATTAACCCAACAGATATGTTAGATAAGGTTTTTTTTCTCCTCTTGCCTTCATAGTTCTTCAAGGCAGTAAATGTTTCAGATGTTTTTTCGTTCTTTAAGAATATCTTTCATGAAATAAAATAGGGTGAGTGTTAAGACTTACTGGGAAAAATGAAAAACATTAGACTTGAAGCTGATTGATCAATAGCCTACGTGTAGCCGCACCCTCCCCGCGACGAACGAAAAACGGGGAGAGGGAGCACCCTCTCTCTGTTTTTCGTTCGTCGGGGGGAGGGTGCGGCTACACTTTGGCTAAATAGTCAAGGACTAAAATTTGGAGTAAGCGGTGAAAAGGCAAAGATAAACCAGAGAGGCCGCCACCATGATGACAAGCTGTTTCTGACTGAGCTCATTAGCGGATAAACCCGTGATTTATGAGTATATTATCATATCATCATCATTATTATTATCATTATTATCATCATCATCATCATCATCATTAACAATTATTGGATAAGGCTGAGTATCATCTGAAGAATTATGGAGATCGACCGAGGAGGGTGTTAATTGGCCTTGGCGGATAACACCCTCCGAGATTCCTAAATTCTTCAGATAACTTCAGGATACGAAAAACGAATTCACTAATTGATTATTTTGTCATTATTCATTCAAAATAATTCGTAATTTAAAAGCAAGCTAAAGCATGCTTACCTTTAAAGCATTAATTGCTTTCTGTTCAGAAAGGCATCCTTAAAAAATGTAGAATTTTTAATGTTATCGTTTACTTGTATAGCAAAAGAGAGGGCTGATTCTTCGAATAATAAAAAATAATTATTATTCATTCAAAATATTTCCCCAATTCTGATTCACTACGATTATTTTTGAGAAAAAAATAATAATCGCCCCCGGCTATTATTCGGGAAATACGGTACATTCAAAATGCAGATTTTTATTGACTTAAGTGGCAGTCTTTATGCCTAGACCGGTTAAGTTGTTTACCGTAAATGATCTTAAAGGCAACCTCTCTCAAATAAACGCCTATAGCCTATTAAACTCCCGGCCCCCACCCCCTACGCATTGAAGTTTTATTAGACGCTCTTCTCTAATAAAAGCTAATAAACGACCCCTGTCTAGTAATAGCCCTGCATGATAGTTGCTCCAAATACTAGGATATATTAAAATAGGACACAATCACTCATTCGGTTGAATATTTAATTCCTTGTTTGATTAACAAGAGTTTGTTCAACGTCAAGTTCAAAGAAATGATTCTGTCATCGAAGTTGAGCTTTTGTTGAGTTTTTCATGAA